GCAACAGTTAAAATTTCTTAAATCTCAGATTACATCTCTCACTTCCGAGAGCAGCTCAACTAGGAGAAACAAATTCTGACCTTCTAAAAATCAAAGGTCATTCTCTAATTCCCAATGGGCACCAAACTTTTCTGCACTTCCTGTAACAGTGTCAGGTGTTAATACTGAGATTAAGCAAACCATTGAATGATTCCAGGGAAACTTGGGAACAACTCCAGAGAAGTGAAAAATCAACTGCACACACCAACTTTCACATTTAGCTTACTCATTAACTACCACTGTAAATGAATGTTAGTCCCACGCTTCAGTGTTTCCAATCATAAATGTAATGAATATACTTCACCATTGCTACATGCATGGAATTTCTGTCTGCTTCACTATAAACTGCTACAGACTTCACACCCATCTTCCTTGCCGTTCGCATCACTCTGCACGCAATTTCTCCTCGGTTTGCAATCAGAATCTTCCCTATGCTGTGACTTTCTGTTTAAAAGACCAAAGCACAGTAAGCAATTTCAAAATGAAATGTACCCTTAAAAACACTCCTCGAAATAAAACTATTTATGGTGCTTATGTACTTCTTTAGTTAAACTGGCACAGTTAAAATTAACCAATAAAATGATTATACATCTCAGAATTCTAAAATGTATCCTTTTAAGAAATTTGACAAGAGGGTCAGTCTAGATCACCTTGTTAAACTTTACTATCTCATTTCTAATGTTGCTTAAGTACTGTCATATCTGGCTTTGCCATCTCTGTATCACAAAGGATCACACAGGAAAACATCATGAAAATTAGTAGTTTTCATGTGAGTTGAGTGCCACCATGACAGATAAAACTGTCACAAATTAAAGGTGATTTCTGTTAAGTCAGGTACAAACAACTGTTTTCCAAAACTATACAAATATAGAATGTTCATTAAAAAAACAAATACAAGAATTACAGCTAAAACAGTCTAAAACCGTTGTAAAATCACCCATGTAACACAAGCAATGGAGGCTGGTAGCCGAAGGAAGCACAGCATACCTGCTGTGGAGGCACGCTTTGCCAACAGCAGCGCAGGACTCCATGGTCTGCAACTACAAACACAGGACTGTTAGAGAAGCAGGCAAAGTAGTTGCAGCTGAACAACTTCTATTCTCAGGCGAAAGCACAGCACCAGCTCAACTCTGAAGCTGCTGATACTGCTATTTAAACACAGCATAACCAAGCACAACATGGTAAGGTTGTACAGACTTCGCTGTTTCCTTGAAAGGGCTCCCCTTTAGGCACAACGGGAACAACAGATTGCCCTCTTGCTTTCCGAGCAGCGTTCAGATTGGAACAGCAAACGTAAGCAAATTCTTATCTTTCGGTGGGCACATCAGACACTGGGATTTACTGCAGAGAGGGCAAGTGTGAGGGAAAGGCACGAGCAGCACAGGAGAGAGCCGTCTGTACAGCGGGGGGGAGCGGGGAGGAGCACCAAACCCCAAACCAGCCTGCAGGGCAACCGTGCTGGAAACCGCCCGTTAGAAGCTGCCGTGCTGGGGGCCGTGGGTGTTTCCGGCTCGCTGATCTCCACAGAAGCGGTCACGCTCCGTGCCGCCCGTCCCGCCCCGAGCAGCGGCCCAGAGCCCGCCGTCCCCTCAGCGCACAGCGCTCCGCCCGTCGACGCGGCTCCTCCGGTCCTCCTCCCGCACACGGCCCCCCGCCGCCCCGGCTCCCTCCCCCCGCAGGCGCTGCCAACGCCGGTTCCCTCCCGGCCCGCACTCACTGACGCTGCAGCGCCCGCAGGCAGTGCCGGCCCCGCTCGGCCACCAGCGCCAGCGCCATGTTGGCGGGGCGGGGCGGGGTGTGCGCGGCAGGCGGGCCGTCAGTGGCTGAGGCGGGCGGCTGCATGGTGGGGCCGGCAAGGGTGGGGGGGAGTGGGTGAGAGTGCGGGCGATTAAATGGCGGACCAAATAAAAGCGAGAAAACCTGGTGCAGCGAAACCGGTGACGGAGTTGGAGGTGTGCCGTGAGGGCGGAACGTCTCGGGTTGCCCCGTGTGGGGGTCGGGAGGTCGGCCGGAGTCACGAGGGGGGGCTCCGCTCTGCGCTCCCCGGTGCGGATGGCAGAGCGCGAGGAGATGGCGCAGAGCCGGAGCCGGGGGTTCCGGCGGACGTGAGCGTTAATAGTGTGTTGTGAGGGTGGTCAAACACTGGAACAGCTTCCTAGTGAGGCGGTCCGTGCCCCATCCTGGCAGCGGTCAGGAGCCGTTTGGATAATGCCTGCTGTAATGTGCTTGAGAGAGCCCTGAAGTTCGGGCAGTTCAGCCTGATGACCTCTGCAGGTTCCTTGGGACTGAATATTTAAACAGCTTTTCCTCAGAAACACGCAAACTGTCCGCTGCCGTTGTGGCACTATGCAATGCATCTTACGTGTTTTCCATGCTCAGAGGCAGACAGTTTCTTGCACAACGAGCACACTTGCTATGCAGGCAACTTCTATTTATTGCCTTTTCTAAAATGCAGTGTGAGAAGAATCTGTCCTACTCCCTGCACTGAACAGGGACACCTGCGGCTCCGTCAGAGCCCCTTCCAGCCTGCCCTTGGCTGTCTCCTGGGATGGGGCACCCAGCACATCGCACAGCAGCCCCGCAGTGCCTGCACACCTGGGCTCGGATGGTGAGAGTAGTTCAACCTGACCCTGGGGCAGCTTTGGAAAATAGCACAGTCGCTTGAATTTGGCTCCAAGAGCTTGCAGGCACGTGCTCTGGAGATGGGATTTTTAAAAGCAGATTATTAAGCAAAGCTGTGTCTTTTCCATTATTCATTCCCTTCATTCTTCAGCATAAGTGTCTACACCACAGATCCTATTTATCACAATGTTCAGCATGTTCACTGTGTCTTTAAACACAAGATGGCAGCATTTTGTGTAGCTTGCCATTAAATGCAGAGTAGAACTAAAGATATTTTGCAGTATATCACTCAGAGGTGGAAGACTTTATGCTTTGAACAGTGAAAATCACAAGCTCATTTGTATTGCAAATCTGCCCTTGGTGAAGGTATCTGTCAGTGTGGTGTTCAGGGCGTGCAAGGTCAAGAGGGACCACTGAGCTGCACACATAGATGTTGGAAAGGGCAATGTAATAAAACCCAAATCCAGAAAACCATTTTCTGACACCAGTAATGTGCTTAATGTGCACATACATACTAAATGAAGGCACTGTCACGACCTTAAAGCTGTACCAGATAGTTGGGGCTGGTAACATTTTAAATTTTACTGTAGAAGCTTGAATGCTTTTCATTTCTCTACAACTATTTATGATATTTCTGCATATGGAAAATGCAACTTAAGACTTTCTTCAAATCTTTAAAAGGAAGTAAGAATCTGAGCCAATGAAACAATAATTTAATAAGATACTTATGATCTAGCAGTGTCTTAGGGAATAGGATTTGCAGAAGAGAGAACTGTAACTTAGCTGATGTTTTGTGGCTAGCAGGGAAAGCCCAGATACTCAGAGCTTCAGCTGTGCCCACAATTCTCAGCCCCGCCTGCCCTGGTCTTCCTGTGGAGGACTTCACAGATAAAAGCTTGATTCAGATCTTTCTTATCATGAGCAACAGAGAGTGAGCTCAGTTTGTCCATTACCCTCCCATGTACTCCTTAAGCATCGTAAGTCATTTTACTAGTGGTGTAACTTCACAGAAATCTTTCTCTACTCACCCTTGTTACTTTCTTTGAATTGATGCCTTTTAAAAGTACTTCCTTTCTCTCCTAGACGCTGTGATGCAAAAACACTTCTTCAGTGGACTCTAAAGCTGTGTGCTTCTAGGACAGTCCCTGGTGTGACTGACAGGTTTATTTTTTGCCTTAAAAAGAAAAATTATGGATTATTCCTCTACATGCCATAAATCCCTGTCAAGAAAGAAAAAAAAATCTGGGACATCCAGCAGTCATTATTGTTGCATCTTATCACTGAGAGAAGTTGCTTTATTTCTGGTGCCCTTACTGGCACTTCTCTAGCAGGTTCCTGAATCTGCTGCTAGTCGCAGATAGGTTTTTCTCCTCCTATATTTACCACATCTGCTTCCTGCAGTTCTCCTATCTTAGCTTCTGTAGCCACGAATATGAGACTCAAACAGCCCCTTCTGAGCCTCATCCCCACAGGGAAGGTGGGATCCCATTTCCCCATCTCTCTGCCCACCCTCTGAGCCAGCCCAGCCAGATCATGCAGCCTCCCAGCAGTGAGATGCTGCACGAACTGCACCCCGATGGGGTCTGGCTACACTAATTAGCCAAGCTTCATTTCATGTTTCACTGGGAAACCTTCGAAGATAAATCTGAAGAACTTGTGTGTGTCCCCTTCTATTGAACAGTTTACCACACGCAGTTGCCTTATGGTTGTTCTATTTTAAGCTGGCTATTGTGTGCTGACGTGAGAAACAGCAAAGTCACAGCAAAGTCAAGTTCCTTCAGAAATTCCTTTGAGTGACATAGAAACTGCTGAATTCTGGAGTTTACTTCTGGAATTTTCCAAGCTATTATTTCCTGTATTTTCCATAACTGCACAATAAAGGATGCACTCTCCTCCAAAGAATCTCATCATAATGCCTAAGATAATTATCTGAGAAAGAGGTTTAAGTACAAAGTAACAAACATCCATTACCTCTGCTGTGAGTTATGGTCTGCGTTTATTGGACAAATAGGAAACAGAAGTAGACATAAAGAAGAAACTCAAGGAAGTTGTGGGGAGATGAACAGAAAACCTCATACTATTTTCAATACTCCTTTTTATCTTTTTTTTTTTTTTCCTAAATGCTGATGAAACAAAGATGGAAATGTAAGAGGAAATGCCCAGGCTGGAAAAAAACATCACTGTCAGTTACAGCAAGGACATGAGTATATCTGTGACTGTGGCTTGTGTTGCAAGCCCATACAATCCTGTCTGATTGTTACAGATGGTGTTTGTATTTTAAAATGTTTAGGTGAAACAGCACTCGAGAGAAAACAACTGCACAGCAATGCACACTTTAATGACTAAATACAATCTTTATTATAGAAACACCAATGATAGAAAAATGAAGGGCATGCATTCCTTTTCATAACAAAGTAATTTTTAGCAACCATCTATTAGAGCAAGCTAAAAGTGATCAACCAAACCAATTCCATACACTTAAGAAGTTAATCTACATCTCCCTGGTTACCGGAACTAACAGCTGTTTTTTAATTTGGACATTTTTTTTGTCTGTCAGAGACCCGCAAAGGACTAAAAAAAATTAAATCTTACTTTATAAACTCGTTGGGTATTTGCCTAAGTATGACATTGTATATTCATGGGATACCCTGAGCTACAGGGATGTGCTCACCTCCTAACTTCTGCTTCACTGTGTTCTTCACTCTTCTTGCCAAGTAAATAGCAGCACGTCATGATCATTTCCAATTGTTTTGCCTTTGCCACTTAGCGCAAGCCCAGAGAAGATTTTATACAGCTTCCAAAAAACAGCAAACAAATAGTGATATATTGCATAAGAATTAATCAGTTTAACATTAATCTAAACATTGTTCAGTATGAATAGTTTGATTCATTCTAGTGATAAAATGGGGTGAGAGAAAAGCATTAACTTTGCATCATTGGTAAAGCTGCCAGAGGGTGTGACAAGATTAAATACAGAATTACAATCATCATTAAGAACAATTTTCAAGCCTCATTTTGATAGCAAATGTTAAAAGACTGAATATTAATATACAGAGCTTTTCCAGTATAGAACATAACAAGAAAATCCTATATTTAATTAAAGTAATAAATCATACAGATAAAACAACCCAAAAATCCAAAGGCCATGTGAAATAGGACTTAGTTTTTAACGGGGAAGATGTCTATTGACCACCAGCTGGATTAGCTTAGGGTCAGATCATGTGTGGAGCTGAGCTTTTTAGGTGACAGTTGTTATTAAAATGTCCACATATAACAGCTTGGGACAGCAGCATCAGAAGTGCAGGCATGGGCTCATTTTCAATTGGAAGCACTTCCACATATTTACTGTTTCCTGCTGCTTAAACATTACACAGTTTAAAAAAAAAAAAAAAAAAAAAAGTGAGTGCTTTAATATAGTATTAAAAAAAATCCTGCTTTCTACACAAAAACAAATAACAAATAACTCAGCAATGGCCCACAGCTCCACTTCCTGACCAGGCAGGCAGCAGCAGACATTTTACTTTGTACCAATGGTTTTCCTGAAAAGAAGCACAAGCAGCAGGCTCACAACTCCCCAGACCTTTCACGGCTGCAGTTCTTACAGACAAGGACTAGTTTCCACCACCCAGGTCTCTCATTAACCATCAGATTTTCATGTGGGATGAACCATGAACAGGAAGAACACCCTGAGAGCTAAGGCCTGAACAAGGGCAGTGGGCTGCATGTCCACTAACAGCAGGAAAAGGTGGGAGGGGGAAAATGAGCTTAATAAAGTTTGCTAAGTGATATCATCACTGCTGGAGCCTTTCACAAAACAACCTTTGAAATAATGGAGCATTCAACTGATTGTAACTGCATGCTGCTTTACCTTATGATTATATTCAGCTGCCTCCCTTGTTCACAGCTGGTTTTAAGTTCTGTCTTTGGCTTCTCCAAGTGCAAAAGTGATTCCAAATTGTCTTTATCTTTCTTGGTTATGAGTTCATTGAAACTAAACTGGAACATTGCTGGAAAATGAGGATTACTGCCAGAGCCACATGTTATGGTGCTATTGAAGGGTGTCGTGTTTCCTGCTTGGCACGGACCAGAATCTTCTAGAAATTCACAGAATGGAGGGATTTAAGTAACTGAACTCTCTTGATGGTTAAACACTGGTAAAATACCAAAACTGATTTTAAAAAATACTGCAGGCAAATCAGACTCACAAGGTACTGACATCAGTTTTAGCCAGTGTAAATCCACTGTCATTCATAACTGCTCAGGATTTGGGTCATTACTTAATGGAAATCAAGTGATCTTCCAGCATTTATATTATGTTTATTTCCAAATAAAGCTAACAGCAAGACATTTTTGCAGATAGCTTCAGTCTTTCTTTTGTTTAACTGATGCCATTCCTGAGTCCTATCCAGGCAAAATATTTATTGGTAACATTAAGCTACTGCCCTAAACCCCAAGGGGAAAATGAGCTCTTACATAATATTGTTTTCTCTTCAACAAATGTTTTTACATATAAATCTTATCATTTTCATGTAGTTTCCTGCAGTGAGCAGATTTGATGGTGATGTGCGTACTTGCATATTTGTGCATATGTTTATCTTTGTAACCTTTTATGACAAGGAGATTTTTTCTTTTTTCAACAAAGAAAATTAGCTGAACTTAATTACTCTCAATAGCAATTACTGCTTACACGCCTTCACATTTGCTTAGCAGGAAGTAGACTACAAAGTGTTGCAAATACTTTAAAGCAACTCTAGACTGTTTCCATATGAAAATCCAGCTGCTCAGCTGCAAGTGTGGTGGATAGCATTAACTTCTAGGCAGAGTTTATCCAAAGCCTGTGCAGGCTTTCAGTTCCCACAGACACCTTAAGCAGACAGCTTCAGTGGATTTCCATTTACTCAAGGACATTGTGCAGGTCTGCTACAGTGCTGGCTACTTCAGTATCTTCCAACATTAAGAGAGAGATCACAATACTGTCATCCCACTGAGGTGACAGTTACCAAATTCAGTGGTGAACACTACAACAGGTCCATGTCTGTAAAGGAAGCAGGTGATGCATAAGCTCTTGTAAGACTACGAAATAATAGGCTCCGTGAATCTAGCAAGCAGTTTCACCCCAGTCCCTATCTATCACAGCAGCATCCTTAGCACAGGTCCACTTATCACAGTGCTTTCAGAGCCTCACGTCAGCTTTCTCCACCTCGTGCTGCAAAGACATGGCAAAGGGATGCTGCATCTTGAGCACCAATTGGTAAATAGAATGTCTTGGCCTTGTGTGGATGAGTGGAGTTACTGACTCCAAACACACTCCCAGTTCTGCACAGACATCTCAGCTGCCTGTCATCAGCTGCTGAATGGTGCAGCTAACAGGGTAATAGTGCAGGATAAACTCAGCAACATCAGATTGCTCTCATATGCCATGTCTTGTGAGGCTGCAGTTCAAGAATTATTGGCAAGAAGGTCAGACATCATTGCAGAGAGGCTGAGACAGGCAATGATGAGCAGAAATTTTTGCATGCATTGCTCAGGCAGACTCTGTCTGACCCTGCTGAGTCATCTTATCTGCATACAGAGTCACTAGAGGCTAGAAAATTAATAAAAATACTGCCTCCAGAGTGAGAGTAGGGTATTTCCACTGTGTCCCTCCAAAAGACTCAGTAGGAAACAGTAAGTTACTAAACGTAAGCCTGGTGTTTAAAAGGACTGAAGGGAATTTGCTTATCCATCAAAGTCATTCTTATACTTGCCCCAAATCTTTAGCAAAAAAACAGTGCTTCTGTAGGACTTGCTCTGATTTAATAGGGTTGCCTGTTGCTGTGGATCTCTGCTCTACTCACCTGAAGATCGTATTGCGGACTCAACTCTCCTAATAAATATGAATGGCATCTTAAAGAAATTGATTTTTCTTAATACTTTTTTAGAAAAATCAGACGGTTTTTATGGGGGATAATGATGCTGCCTGCTTTAAGCTATTTTTAAGCATCTGACTGAGGTGGTCTGAATTGCCTCTTTTTTGATGATACAAAGAATTTAGGCTTCTAACTTTGATCCTCTGGACCCCATCTAAATAAGTTGCTAAGAATAGCCTAAAAATAGATGGTATAAATCATTTCCTTCCCACCTTAAAGAAATTACTTCCAGAAACATGCATTAGCTTTAAACACGTGGTGTCATTTCACTTAAAAATACGGCTCCAGAGCAGCAAGGCTGCCAGGTAAAAGCAAAAACTCATGTGATTCCCCTTCTTTGGAAGTACAAGAGCACCTCAGATACGTTCATATCCTCTATGGGGCTTTTTTCTGGAAATCAGAAACGTGACAAACACAATGACCAACAGTCCCAGGATGCTCAGGCCCACGACGATGGGAACTGCTTTTGTGGTTTTATCAAGAAAACATTCTTCTTCTGAAAATAAAAAAAAGATCAGATAATGCATTAGAGTAGAAAAACGTATTTCTAGACTATGGATCCATATTCTAAAACATCAGCAAATACAAGCCAGAGGTTCTCAAGACCTTTCTTCTTATTCTAAACTATACTTAACATGATTTTATCTCGGATGAATCTTATCCCAAGAAAACAATACTTGGCCTGTGAATAGCTTCATGCTTCTCTGGAGAGTGACTTTTTCATACCCACAGTAATTCTTCTACTGCCAAGATGGGTACATACACAGTAGGAGGCTTTCTTGCTCATAGCAGATGTGGATCATGATGCTACAATGTGCAAGTCTGAAAATAATGAGCACGACACATCTTGGATGGATAAAAATTACTGCTTTGTGGTTTCTAATTGTTTCTGCCCAGTAAAAAGGAAATAGAGTTCGGAAGACATTTTTACAGCTTCTCAGAGTCAAACAGGCCAAGTTGTTGATGTAATGCTGCTGTAACCTATACAAAATTATAAGGATCTTGAAACCAATGATCATTATTGCTTTCTTTTTCTTCCCCTTATAAGCAAATATAAGGGATAAACAGAAGTCCCAAGAAACCAACAGGGAGGAGGCTGGTGATGTGCTTAATTTATGGAACTATTCCTTTACTGGGAATTTAGTCTTTCAAAATCTTTATACACAGCAGATGTAGGTAACAGCTTCATAACTATTTCACGGCTGCTGGAGAATTATTTCAGGGATGGTGTCTGCATTCTCAGCCCTTTTAATTAAGAGCAAAACTAGTTTAATTTTGCACATGGCAGTGGCTAGCAGAGGTCAGCCCGTCCCTGAAAACAGAGAGTATTTCTAAGCTGTCTCTGCTAGAGGTGAGGCCACCAGAAGCCATATCTGAACTAATTCATTGTGCATATTCAAATGGGAATGTGGGACCAGATGGGGTTCTATGAGTTGTTCCAGCTCAGCTTTCTTCTGTTAAAAGGTCTTCAGAAGCCTGATAGCACAGACTGGATTCTCAGTGGGGCTTTTAAGAACCTAAAGAAAGTTTATAAAAAAAAGCTTCCATGTCTTAAAACAGTTCCAGATGTAGCTTCCCATTATATTCCTTCTGGAATAAGAAACCAAAATTTTAAACTAACAATAGAAGAACAAGTCAGATAGAGCCAAACTAAGTCAAAAGACAAATCTAAATTAAGAGGAAAGCAGAAGCTGTATTTTGTAAGCATTCAGAAAGTCAGATGGCAGAAGAAGGGAACGTTTTATTAGTGCATGTAGAGGGCTGGACTGCTGATAAAAATCATCTGGCCACATGAGTTCCTGTATGGAAATACCCTGAGCAGAAGTCGCAGAAACGTGTTCTGTTTGAAGGAGAACTCAGGGTACCGCTGAGACCAGCTCTCTTCTGTGTAGAATTTTTCATGAACCTCCTAAAAGTAAGGCAGTGAACTGAGTACCCATACTGTGAGACGCGGGGATTTCCAAGGTCACCCAACGGTCCTGGACTCCACACCCCATCCAGTTCCCAGCTGCATCCCAACAAGAAACATGGATGGCAATGCCTCATTTCTCTGTAGAAGGAAATTCAGGTGCGGGCATAGGAATGAAGCTGTGAGGATCCCCAGTACATTCTCCCAGCACAGGCAATGCAGGGATCCTAAAGTCCAGTACTGGTCTTCTCTGTCTTTGCAGCAGGTAGTACTAAGTTACATGGTTGTGTATACTCAAAACCCAGACATCATATTTTAATTCTGAAACTAAGTGTGACAGTTGTGATCCTCCTCTGGGGCACATTTCATCATTTCTAGATACAGCTGCTCTGCAAGTATCATCCTGCATTGACAAATATCCCTTACTAATTGGCAGTTTCACTGCTGCAGCTGTGGGATGTCATGGGCTGTCAAAAGCTTTTCAAAATTGCTAAAGATATTGAGGGCAGTGACCTTGAACTGATCTGTATTATGTATGAGGGGCTGGAAAAAGCCAATGAAATGGTGGTGAGCACACCTCACCTGGGAAAAAAGAGGGGAGAGAAATAAAATGGAGAATGTCCAGCTGAACATTTTTAATGAAAACGGGAAATGGAAGTTACCAAATTCAGGAGGGAAAGATGCTTTGCCATGGGTATTAGCACAGTGTTGAAAATTATTGGGAAGAGAGTGAAACTACAGCAGCAGGCAGGATGCAGTATCTGGCAAGAAGTCTGTATGGTTAACATCTAGCAGAAGGAGATACCTCGGCCTACTGGACTGCTGACAATTAGATCTCAGAAGGGAGGAAAATATTTCCACATTACTTACCTTTTCCAAACTGGTTGCCAACAATATCAAAGGCCTGCAGCTGCATGTTAACAATGAATAGCTGGTAGGTTCTCTCCAAGCCAAAGGTTTGCTTGCTGGCACACTTAAAGGAATTCCCCAGCTTTGCTGTAAAATGCTGCTGGCGTATGGCTATGTAATAAAGTATACCTGGAGGTCATAAAGACAGAGATAGTGATAAATGGGCATCCAAAATAATGCTGCACAACCAGAATCTTCCTGAGATAAATGAAGGTTCAGAAGCAGTGTCACAGTTGTTACGAAAGCACAGATGTTTTCCCTGTAATATATCAGTTATTTTTGTTTGTGTTTAAATGAGTGCTTCAATTACCAATGGACGACTCAGCCAAGCTTGGGTCCGAAAAAGATTCAGGGCGTTCACTGCAACAGTGCTGCTTGTGGACAACAGCAACATCTAGCAGAGAGGCAGGAACAACACGCAGTGTCTTTCACCAGCACCACTGTGGAGGACTGACAGTCCATGTGAAAACTTCAAAACTGAAGATTAGGCTGATCAGCTTGTGTTTGCTGCAATTGGCATTTAGCAAAATTGATATTTTGGCATTTTTGATCTTAAATTTTATTCTGAAAGAGTGGTGAAAGCAAAGGGAGAGTTTTTGAAGGTGAAAGAGAAGTTAAAAGAAAATAATGAAACTACAGCTTGGTCACCTCTTTTCCACTTTCTTGCCATGACATTTAGGTGAATGACACGTTGAAAGCCTAACGAATACATAATTTGCAGCATTCAGAGTTTTAAAATGTGAAAGTCTATCCCACACCCAGAACTGTTTGATAGCAATTTAACACAGTGAACATTAAATATAAAAGCACTGACCTTCAGAAGGTAACTGTAATTCAGCCTCAATTGTACTGACATAGTATGTTGGATCTTTCTGCAAAAGATGATGCATCTTTATTCCTACTACATCCCTATATTTGTAGAAAAAAATAAAGTTCACCACAGCAAAATGCTTGCAAAATAGGTTCTCAAAGAAAGACTTTTCAAAGCATCACCTTGAAGACTTATGAACCAACTTGGCTGGATGTATTGCATTTTCTTTTCCAAATCATTAGTAGACAAGTCGCCAGCATAACGCTGTGATCTCGGATACTTCACTAGTTTTGCTCAGTGCAGTGAAACCAGACATGCAGATGTGCTTTTGCACACATTGCTCAAGCTAGACATTTGTGTGACTTGTGGTAACCAAAAGTAGGAGGGGGTTAAGCAAATGTTATATATTGCATAAGGCATTTTATTTTTATCCACCGGGTTTGCTTTCATTGAGGGTCCCAGCAATGCTTGCATTGGTAATCCTGCAGTTAATTGATCCCTGCTGACCTGCAGGCTGACTGCTTGCAGAACCCATGGTGATATATTTTAAAGTACCCAGGACTCCAGCACTGCTGTGCAGTTTATGCATCGATGGCCTTTATGTGAGCAAACTGCAGAAAGCAGCCATGCTTCTGTTTATCATTGCTTTGAACCAGAAGAGGGCAGCAACCAGCAGAGACAGGAGCCCTTCACAGAGGTACTGCTTGTTTTCTACTTTGTCTACCAACAGAAATCACTACAAATGAGGAAACAGCAACCTTGATTGTCTATATAGGGAAGAAATAACTGTTATGTTCTACCCTGTTGGTGCTGGCTGGCTTTATTTCATACGCCTACAGTCTGCCAACAAGGAAAGCACCTGGTACTATAGCACAAAACAAAATTTCCAGCTGGACTTTGCCCATCCATGCTCCAAAACGCTGGTGCAAATTGAACACTCTCCTGCCCAGGACAGCCAAAGCATGACAGAAAGCCCCAGGGACTTTTCACTCCTAGCAGCACTGAAGCATGCTGAGAGTCTCTACACAGCTTCCCTGTTATTGGTTTTAATTCCAGCTCTGAGCACATAGGGATCGGTGACTGCAGCTGGTGGCCAAGTAGTAGCAAACATGAATCTCTTCTGTGCACTCGCATTTAATGTCCTGCAGTTTTAATGCTGGTAGGGTAGATTGTGAAAGAAGTTTAAGAAATAAAATGGTTCTCAGCATTATCCTACTTAAAGACATAAATAGGTCAAATAGCACATTTTTTTGGCAGCAGCATTATCTTCTGTTTGGACAGAGTTATTGACTTTGCTCAGGATGAATGCCTGTTCCTACTTCATGTATTGTGGGTTGGTTATGAAACTTCCCTTTGTCAAGTTCTTTGCCAAAAGGCACCTGGCAGCAGTGAGTACCGAGCTTCCCACCTCCCTATGGCCACACCACAGCCCCTGGCCCAGCTCCACCTTCACCCCTGCAAATCACAAGTGCCACCTCTATAGCACTCCTGGTTCAAAGTCAGCACTGCAGAAGCTGGAGAGGCCAAACACATCAGTAACAGCAGCAGAACGATTTCTTAATAACTTGCCTTTCAAAGAAAGCTTAAGCCGTGCCCTGCTGCTCTCTTGAGACTTATCTTGGGTGGATTGCATAATGCTGTGCCAGTAACCATCTTTTTCAGGACAAGAGAGGTCAAAAGGTTCACATCACTCTCCTTAGCTCTGCTGTGAGCTGGTACTTTTATGGGTACTTGAATCACTGGACTTTTTCTAAGGATCTTCATAACACAGAGAACGCCACCCTTGTTGCAGAAAGCACATTTTTAAACCAAACACTCATGATGTGAACTGATCCTTTGTTCTAAAACAGAACTTTTCTTTGTACGTTTTAGATGTCTTTCAGTCATCAACAAAAATCAAGACAATTACTGATTGAAAGCATTCCCAAGCATTAATGACCAAGTATTCAGCTGTGATAAAATTTACTGTTGCCTGTTGGAGCATGACAGACCTCTGGCAGTTTTCTCCTGTAGTTTTAATACCAGCAACACTCATGGTAGGTTACATTGAAGACCTGTCTTCATGCGATGTAGTTTGAGCTGGAAATGTGGTATCAATACACATCCCATCAAAATAAACACTGATTTTCATACTAGGAAAGCATAGGCCTATCTCTTGCTCAAGTTTCTGTGTATATTTGTAAGTTTCCCTGGACTGGTGCATTTTAAGGGCACTTATCTACAAATTTGTTGTTGCAGTTCAGTTGTTTGGAATCTTCTTCTAATCAGAAATTAGAAGAAATTAAGCCCTCTGGGCTCTGGACAGGCTGTGGCCTCTGGGTACATACACCTTCATAGGCTGCCCTCTGGATTTAACAACCATATTCAACTTTTGCCTGGGCAGCATTTATGGGAAGCAAATGACTAATTCCACATACATCCAGGTTGTCTCAGAGATACCATTTCATAAGGACAACTTGATAGCATGACTCAGAGCTTCCAGCACACACACCTTGCTTCTGCACAGTAGCTCCAACCCAGGCCCAATTCCCTGTCGCACTCCAATGCAAGCAGCAGACGTGGCCTTCCCCCCCCTGTCTCCCCAGTTAGATTTTACGTCTGCAAATATGAGTTGCAGATTTTGCTTAGCACTGATCTATAGTTTGTGCTGCTAGTTTGGCAGAACATTTAGCCAAAGGATCCAAGGGCACTGTATTTATCCTTTATTACACATATGAACCCTTCAAAATTCAGAGTTCCAATAGACAAGATGGGATGAAACACTGAAAGTAGCCCTGCTCTGAGCTGGGGACTGAGCCAGGTGGCCTACAGTCTCTCCTGGACTGAATTAATCGTGGTTCTGTAAATCCAGGCTCTTAGGAAGGGCAGGACAACTAGCACCGAGATGGATGAAATGCCCTTTTCCACAGCACGCTGCACATCACTGGTCTGGCTGGAAGTGGATCAGGGGCAGCCTGGGTTCCCGTTCCCCAGACCTAAACCTTGTTCCCACTAAATACAGTTACCTTTACAAAGACGAAGCTTATAAATCCTCCAGTGAAAGTGATGTTCAGCACAGACTGCACCATCCCACAGCTTCCAGATATCTGGGTGGTGTTGGGGTTGACAGTCAGGTACTCCATCTGCTTCTGTGGAGAAATGAGGACATTGCGGGGCTATTTATGAAGTGGAGGGGAAAACTTAATATGAAACATGCAGGCTAATATGTTTAGAGTTTAATTATGTGGTTGGATTAACAGACCAATGCCCAATAGCTGTATTAATGGAGGTTACAGAACCATTATTGGGAAGGCCATCATCACAATTTCAGGGTTTTTACATCTTTTGCTGAATCACTTGCCATGGATCAATGCCAAGAGAGGGTAGCAGTTTCCCAGAACCCCTGTACTGATCCAGCTGGCTGACATGATGCTCCCAAAACCTCATTTTTCAGCACTGAGACAACTCATCTCTGAATCCAAACAAGTCTGTGAGCTGATAATTTATTTCTCCCACTGAAACTTGCTATTTTAAACCCTTCACTGATGTCACTTCAGATTTTAACTAATCTCCCATTCTGGGAAAGAGAAGTAACACTGGAGCCAATCTGCCCTCCCAAATATTGCTGCCATGGATATATTGCTGAAATAAGAAAGTATATAACATAATTATACGAACCAAAGTACAGCAGTTGAGATGCTGTGTCAAAAAAAAAGGCTTCAGACTCACAACAAACCAGTTATTTTTATCATACAACTTAATTTCTGCAAATTGCTTTTAAAGGAATAGAATACATTCCAGCAAATGAAGTAGTCTTTATAAGGCTTAGCCTGTAGTGCTTTCACCTCACCTTCTGTGTGCTTAGAGCCATCAGCTGCAAACCCATCACTGCTTTGACGCAGGTCTTGTTGCTGCTGGAAATGGTGTATGTGCCAGTGGGGATGGGGGAAGGCTGTGGTGCCAGAGTGGGTCTCACCATCATTGTAGTAGATGGGATGGTTGTATGAGTCCCCTGATGAGTGGTGGTTGCGTTGGTCATGGCTGTGGCTGTTGGACTTCCAGAAGTTGTGTGATTAATTGAGCTTGTGGTGGGATTTGCAGTACTGTTATCAGTGGCTGTAGTATTTATGGCAGCAGTTGTTGTTTGTGTCTTTGATGTTGTACTCTCTATGGTTGTGTTTGTAACTGTGTCCACATGGGTTGTGATTTGGTTGTCTGGGGACACAGTCGTGTTCTTCACAGCTGGTGTAACTGTTTCCATTGCCTGGGTTGTAGCCTGGCCAGATGCAGCTGTTTTTGCTGCAGTTGAGGTTACTGCTGTGGATGATGTCTGGCCATACGCTTTGCTGATATTTGCTCCTGCCTGGGCTGTCATATGAGAGGCTGGTGCTGTTGTTACCCAGCGTTGGTCTGTTGTCTGCAGAGTAGTTGTATGGTTTATGGAGCCTGTGATGTTAGGTTGAACTGCAGTGCTTTGATGGGGTGGTGAATGATAAACAGAAAGTGGCAGAGCAGAAGTGATGGTATGGTGGAAGGACGTGGTTTGTGGAGACAGCTTGACACCCAGGGCCACTTCAGCACAGCAGGAAGAAAATGCTGCAAAGAAATGAAAAGTCAGTAGTCTAAAACCATTGCATTTAACGTTCTTGTTGATATTTACAACATAACTGCTCCCATTTTGTTATCATGACTTTATTCTTCCTTTGGCTTAATGTCATGATAGGAGAGCACAAGCAGACGTAATTTTGCACTGCTTCCCCAATCTTCACACCTCTGAATATATCCACTGCAGAGGCAGCACACTGGCTCCTCACTCCCCACATGCTGCACTGACTGCTGAACAAGACAGCGGATGCTATAGAGATGTGAATAGATCTTGCACAATCCCTACACTGTACATGAATTCCCTTGCAGACAACAGTGCAGCAAGATCTGCTGGGAGTAAATTATCAAGGTATAAGGAACAACTTGTTCCACTGTGGGTTGCTGTTAAAATGAAATCCAAGCATAACAAGTGAAGAGGTGGTTGGTTAGTCACAAACAAAGCATGGGGAAAGGGAACAATTTTTGTATGTGAAGGAAACGTAGTGGTCTTATGATGATTCAGAACAGACTGGGAGGCAGAAATTCCAGGAATTTGTTTGTGGTGCTGATGTAGATACGGCAGCCTGACCCCTCAAGTTCTTCCTCATGGGAGATACCCAGGGAAAGATGGGCCCTCTTAGTAATGCTTTTTCGGCAATGAGAAACAAATTTGAGGGTACAGCTTTCAGGGGTTTTTTGAACCGCATCTAAAAATACTCACAGCACAAAAATCACACCGGCATTTTGTAACATTTACAGAAATGTATTCCTTGCAAAATGGAAAAGATGTAGTTCCTATGTGTAAGTAACAAAGGGAGGACATGGTGGATAATGTACACTGTAAAAAGAGATGAAGTTCACAATTGTTCAACTTAAATCTTTGATTGTGAGTATGCAACAAGGCACTGTAAAGACAAGACCAAGCTAAAAGCCTCAAGTCACAGACACAAATGTATTCTTTGATGTGCATGAGGCTTTACATGTAGTTAAACGCTTTACTGACTAAATTAGCTGGTGGACAGAGATGAATTCTCCAGTCTGTAGACAGAAAGAATCCGAAAGTCTGATTTTCCCTTAGAAATGACTGTGATAGAGGAGAAGTGGAGGGATATGCTCCATATTCCTAAACTTGCCTAAACTTGCCTGGTTTCACCTCCGTACTGAACTGCACACACTTGACTGCAAATGTAGCTGTTATCATCAGAGAAATACACGTTTGTGCAATTGAAAAGTCACAAAAATAAGGACAGACCCCTCTGCTATTACATTTTATCAGAAGGAACTGAAAGTGCTGTAATTAGTATCATATTTTAGTTCATTTTCTCTCTTTTTTCTTGCCTTTACCACACCTGCTGTCAAAGTTGAGAAGCAAGTAACTTCTCCTCTGTATGTTCATCTCAATCAGACCAGTGGAAAATCAGAGCAGTTGCTGTGTAACACAATAGAAAAAGAAAGAAGAAGCTGCAATTTTCACTCTTTTTTTTTTAGCCATGTGTGTTTGTGAAACAATTCGTACTTGAATTTATGTAAGCCTTAAGCAGTCAGCACTTCTCAGTTTTTACTTAACAGATTGGTTTTGGTTATTGACTACGTAACACAAAAATTTATGGGCATGGAAAGAAACATCATTTCCCTTTTCACTTGGATGTTGTCCATAGTTTTTAAATGGAATTTCATTTTCCCCAGAAGGTCATTTCATCAGAAAAATAATCAGCCCAATGTGGTCACTGAAACACCTCTTGGATGGCCTTGGTTTTTACCCTCCAGATGACTTGCCAGTATCCTCCAGCTTAGCTATCCCCAGCATTTTGGGCCCCCTGTTGGGCCATGCCCATGTTTCCAAACCTGTTGGTTTGGGTCATCTCAAAACGCATTTGGCCACTGATCTCAGAAAGTCTTCCCAGGGATGAGTAAAGATCGATCTCTGCCAACCCAGTGGTCTTGGCCATCAAAAGCGGCCACAAAGCAACAGCAAATTGCAGCTCTGCATCCTGCAGTTAGCTTCCATTTCTTTTTTCTCTGAGAAATTTGCCATCCCTAATGGGTCTGGCCCAAAGTCCATGCATTCTGACAGAGGAAGTTTCAGGTTTTCCCTCCATTCAGTAGCATCCAGAGGAGAACAACAAGGATGATGAAGGGTCTAGAGGGAAAGTTATACAAGGTCACTTCATTCTTTCAGCCCAGAGAAGGGGGCCGAGGGGAGGCCTTGCGATATCCTACAGCTCCTTACAAGGGAGCAGAGGAGCAGTGCTGAGCTCTGCTGACTCTCCAGTGAGAACCAACACCGGCAGAGGCACACAGTTCATCTGTTCAAAGGAACTAAGGTGGAAGGGTCTTGATCTGGCTGTAAAATGTCTCAGCCTGGCAGCCCATGACGCAGAGGATGGAAGAACCTCTTGCTGGGGATTTCTGACCCTTCTCGCCTAACCACACACCCACAGTTTGTTCTGCTTTATGCTGCCCAGAAGAAATGCCTGTTTGGATGACAGATTCTGTGCTAGTTACAGACACAAAAACCTGACCTAAGCTCCTACAGAATAGACTCTTGCCAGTTCTGGCTGCTTTGATTTGAGCTCTCGAGGAACAGGAAAAGCACTAAGATATTCTGAGAGGCTTTGGTTCTCTCTAATATAGTTTACTTCAAACACAAGAGCATGGATGTTTCTTAAACATCCTACCCTTCAGACTCTTCTCCCCTAAACTCTGATTCATTTTAATTCCCTACCTGAGTAGAAAGAGTTTGTGGCATTAATGAAAGATCACAACAAATTACTGAAGGAACTATCAAAAACGAATGAATAGCAACTGAGCAAGAAGTTCATCCTGGCCAAAGACACCCCTGCTGACCACTGAGTTATTTCTCCAAGTCTGCATACATTTTGGGGTCACTTCAGCAGACTGTGGCTATGAGGCAGGTGTCATAAAGTAGAGCAGATGCGGCTGGAGCTCTGTGTGGTAAAGTCCTGCACTGCTCCCCTGCTCACCGCGCTGCCACTGCAGAGCTGGGAGAGGGGCAGGAGTCATTGCTGGTGTGAGCTGTGCGTGCAGATAGCAAAGCACACCACAGAAACCCAGGACCCCACCAGCAAGCAAAAGTCCTTAGCCATTACACAGATTAAATTACTCTCTGTCCACATGGGCCAAGTAGATTTTGTGCAGTGACTTTACATGCTAAGACACATCCTTGACCAGGCTCACTCCACAGATTTTCAGGGACAAGCACTAAGGATCAAATGGTGACTTTGATGTAGGTGGTTGTTAGATAGGTCCCAGCTTCTCCCAGACTTCCCAGAGCCCCCTGCCTTGCTTTTGCTTTCCTCACACCCTGCATCTTGCAAACAAACAAGCAACGTTTCTTTATGCCTTGGTTTTTTTGCTTATCTCACTCAAGACATTCAGTCAGTTCTGCTGGACATCAAATACAAGTAATACAAATACAAATAAGCCTGCTTCTAATACTATTTTGAGCTGACTCAATCACACAGAGTTCATGTCACCACAGAGTGCAAAATACAAGAGAAAATATTACATTAAGTTTACATCAGCTACAATTAAATTAAATTGTATGTAAATTAAAAAACAGTTATAGTTAATTCTTTCTGGTGGGGCTTCATTAAAATCACCTTTAATGCTAGCTGCAAGACTGTTTCCAGTTTGCAGTCTATTAGCTCCTCTCATAAGCGCAAAGAAAGAAAAGCAGCATAATCTGTCTTTTTTTAATAGAGAAATGATGGAAGATGTGACTCACCGCAGGCAAAGGCTAGCAAGACCAAGTGTGATTTGCTCCTTCCCATGGTCAGTGCAGCTGTGAGGCCAAGAGATGCTGCTTCTCGCTGTGGTGCAGCAGAAAGGAAATAAAGGTTTTCTGGGGACTGCAAAGTTTCACTTGATTCAGGGAGTGCTCAGTCACATGGGTGGAAAGGAGGTGGGGAGGGAGGGGGGAATCCAGTGCTCATCTATAAACTAATGCAAAAAGAAATAGCTGCTGGTTAAGAAGGAAAGTGAAAACAGAAAGAACTGCTGGGTTTGTGCAGCAGAGGACAAGCTCTTACCTACAGTCAAAGCCTGGGGTTCTGTAAGGCCATGCAGAACTTCATGCTCTTTTCTCCAGTTTTGGAGACTGCAGCTGCAGCCCACTGGAGGGCTAAGACCTGTAAATCAGTGCTTTCTCGCATGCTCTTTTGAAAAAAAAAAGTTTCTTTGGGGTAAATTCCTCCTCTGAAATTAAGGCACAGAAGGGAAAGGCGTTCTCTCTGGCTTTCTCCTCAAAACCTGATAAAAGTGAGACAGGACTAAGCAAAGTCTCAAAGAGGCTCTGGTTCTTCCTGGGGCTGCTGTTAGCCTTTGTTGGATGGTGCAGCCAAAGTGGCTCACCATTAGCATTGAGTCCAAATATATTCCCAGCAAACAGCAATGACCTACCTGTGTTCCATGAAGGATCCTCTGTGAACTATGCCAAGCCAGAACAACAGTTGCACAGGCAGATCCCACTGTGTGTGGCCACATGCCAGCGATCTGCAGCAGAACGTTTCACCTGCATGTTTGTGTGGATGGATTTCCAGCCCCATGTCCTCACCATGAGGCCTGATAAAGCTGGAAGCTTAATGGAAGTAGAAAAGAGATGATAAACTCATAGAATAAGAGGAAAAAATGCAGGGACTCTTGTGGTCCTGATTCTTCTCTCTCTCACACCAGAATTAAAGTGCAGTAACACAGTGAGGCCAATGACTTGAAAACTCAGATGAAGTGAAGTGGATGCTGCCTGAAATTAGCTCCAACTTATTTTGTTCTCTGTGTTTCCATTGTGTTTCCACATACTCATTTGTACTTCCCTGCCCCCCTACATGATCCACAATACTCATGTGTGCCCTCCTCAGTAAGCCATTGGTAGCCAAGGGTATGAAGATAATGTGAGGATATTTGCAATAAAATCATCCCATTCCTTGCCTCATTACCCCAAACATCAGCACGCACAACTCTGACCTGTCTTGGTAAATCTCTGCACTCTCCTAACAGTCCCAAAAATTCAGGAACATGAATAAGAGAGAGAGGCTAAGAAAATTTAAAACAACTTTTTTTTTATGATTCACACATAAAGTTGAGTTGGATAAATGCATGGTTGTTTGTTTTTGCCAGGTGTGTTGATGGGACTTTTCCAATACTCATTTCTTCTGAATAGAAAGAAATCTCATTTGACTTGTTGCTTCATACAGAGACATCAACCACAATGTTTTGTACTAGTTATAGTTTTTATAAATTTCAAACAAAGTGTGGTTTTACACAGATCAGAATTACAGAAAGCTCATTTGCACACTTTTTTTCTTGTAATAATTTCATACATTCATCTTGACTGGAAAAAAGAACAGGTAATTCTGTGCTCTTTCCCTGTCTGATTATCTCTCATCAGCCACAATATACAAATACATCATTATCAACACAATGGAAAATATGTAAGAAACAAACTGTACCAATTCTTAGCTGGGGAGAGGAAATGTTGGCAGCTATTTCAGCTCTAGCTGCAAGAAGAAACACTGAATTTGGCTCTCTTTTTCTTCTCCTTATTCTTAAATATTTCTAATAATACATATATTAGAAATCAGGCTTTGAGTATTTTTGGAAGGAAAAACAAGGCCTTTTCATACTCAGTCCTGCTTGTAATCTCAGAGACTTAAGAAAACGATGGATAAAAGAATGGCTTTTCATTACGTACACAAACAACGTAAGACCAGGCGTGCAGCTTTGTTGTGACTGGCAACATAAGCCAATGTCCAGACAGGGTTGGGCTGCAGCCACCTATGGCCCAAACAACAACCATTGGTCTGATACTCCATTCAGTGGTGTTAGACAGTGAAAGAAGGAGAGGATCAAGCCTGGTTACTTTCTGGCCTTGATTGACATCATGGTGATTGCCTGCATACCAATTTGTCACTACCTCCAGTAATGAAGAACTCCATTGCCCAACTATACCCAAATCAGCAGAGGGAATACTGTCAAGGATGTGAGGCTGCTGAAAATCTCACGTACTGCATACAGCCATGGGGCCAGGAGTTACTAGCCATCCTCAGGACATTCATAGTGCAGGAGTAACTTAACCTTTGGTCAAACAGGAAAAAATGTGAAATTTTGGAAAAAAATAATAATTCAAAATAAAAGTAGGAATGAGAATTGTAATAACAGCCCATACCTTTGCAGTGAGTCAGTGTGCTGGGAGACACGAGACAGTTTTGTAGCAGTCTACTTCTCTGCTTCAGCTCCAGACTACTCCATAGGATGCCACCACTGACACTCTTGTAGGGCACAGTGGGACGTGGGGGAGAATGCTCTGCTTTCCCCTGAAAGGTCTATAGTTTTTGAATCCACACTAGAGTTCAGCATCAGAATTGGTATGAGGGAACTTCAGTATCTCCCACTTTACTCAAAGATAGTGAGACACCAGGGCTATAGGAATATCTCACTGTCAGTCTGCACACAGCAGAGGTAGGATGAGGATTCACAATACCTGATTTTCCATCTCCAGTTCAAACAAAGAATTCCCACTGCTATTTCACCATTGGAATGAGATTCCTTCACTTGAAACTCCAAAGTGCAAGTTGGGGTCTTTCCATGAGTGTGTAATGTCACAAATACTAGTTTGGGCAGTTTCACATACACAGGGTAACCCTTCCCCATCTCTCTCTCACACACAAATCTTACTATACTTACTTAATGTGCAATCAAAGCTCCCTTCCCCTTTCCTCTCCTGTGCTTAGGGCAAGGGTAGACAGGAGCACTGTTAGCAGGCCGTGCAAAAAATACTGAAAGTAATATAGAAACAAAAATGAAGTCATTTTATGGAGAGGATTAAATGATTGCACTACAAAAAAAAAAAAAAAAAA